CTAATGCAGCACATGGGTTGCACCGAGCTTCGTGCAACATCTTGGTGGATGCTTATGAGAGAGCCTGTCTCCACGGAGGTACGTTATGTATGAATTATTCGAATTCCAGGTGCTCTGATGAGATGCTGAGTCTGACCACCATGGAACTGTGGACGGATGCAGAGGCCGAGGCCGCGTTTGAGCCACTGAAGCAGCTGGGAATGTTGCCGACCGTGAAGTCACACATGCTGCGGCACATACTAGGTCCAGCAATGTGGCGTGGTGGAAGGAGGTGATGGCGCCGCTGCATAAATTTGGCCTCGCCCAGGAGACCTTCGCACTCAAAGTCATGCTCAACGCCTAAGGCGCTTCGGCTGCCTCGACGAGATCGGCAGCCCTCGCTGCCATGGACCGCCGAGAGATGTCGAACTATGAACATGTAGGGCCAAGCGGGGTACCTGGAGAGCATGAAGGCGATGTTTGTGCCGCCGTAAGGGAGGGGGGTCACTGTCAACGTGGTGACGTGGAGGTCCTGCATGAGCACACACACACACAAGGACAGAGTACCGGAGGTGCTTGGACATCGACCTCTAGGTGACAGTCCACGGTACATGCAAAAACTAAACTGTACTTGAAGTTGTAATTGAACCAAATCACCTTTCCATCTTACTTGCACCTTACATGAATTGCGTTCTTGCAGTTTATCCGGTGTTTTCCATACAATCTGCTTTGTAGAAGCTACTACATCAATTTAAGGAAGTACATCCAACTTGCCTGACCAAGTTTATTATATCCTGTTCATCGGAAGTCTATGTAGACAGTTAGGACCAATAGAGAGACATACATTTGCTTGAGGTTCTGAATTATATTGTTTGCTTAATGTTTACTGACAAAAAGTAGTGGCAAACCTCTGGCTGAGCAGTAGGATCCTGTTTCTACTCAAAACCCTGAATTACCAGTAATTCAGTAGCTTATTGCGATATGATCTACATGATAGAAAACATTGATTTAATATTTTTCTTATGATTGTTTCAAATATCCGATATTGTTTCCCCACAAAAAAATATTGTTCCGGCAGAAATTGATTTTTTTATTTGGATATTTGAGTATTATTGTCAATAGTAATAACTTGAAATATGCTTTTATTTTCCTATATCTAAGATATTGCTAATATAGTTTGGAGCTCAGACCAACCCAGTAGATATATGGGTACTTAGGTTTCAGATTTCAGAAATTGAAGATTTTATTCTTTTCCTGCTATATGCTATCTTACTTTTAAAAGAATGGTAGCTGATGCAGCCTATCATTTGCTTTTCCTAAATTATTCTGTAAAATTTATATCCACAATCATTAAAAACTGGTCTGGTCTACAAGATAAATATTTAGGTAGCTGGATTTCAGAAATTAATAATATTGCATTGTCAAGTTCATCAGTTAACATATCGAGACATTCCAGGTGCTCTCATAAGAACCCATGGTACACCGCAGAGGCATTCCAGGGGACGAGGAGGATTTCGCGATTTCCAGGCTAGGCATATCCAATCAGATCGTCACCACGCTCACAACAAGAACATGGGCGACGGGGTGTTCGCCAAAGCTTTCTGCCGCTAGCACCCGTGTACCGTGTTTCCTCTGTGGTGGAGCACATATGTTGTACATTTTTTCTGTCAAAACATATTTGCTTTCGTTGTCATGTTCTTTTATATACACATTTTTCTTGATGTCCATGATTTTTTTTGCTGGGATCTATTTGGATTGAAGTACTTTCTAGAGTTCCTTCTACAGAGGTAGCTGGGACACATGGAGTTATTGAAACACGGTCAGAAAACTCGTGATATTAGCCACATAATATTGAAGGATACTATTGTTTTACTGCAAGATTATTTTAGATCCTTCTATTTTTGCCAAGTTATAAGCACGTATGAACAACTGACAAATTGCACATCTTGAGTGCCTGTCATGTCCAGTTGGATGTTTTTGCCTCAGTTTTTACTCCCTAATTTTTTACTCTTTACTTTAGAGGTGGAAATGCATGGGATAGAGAGAAAGGGAGAGGGAAGAGGAGAGGGATTGGGAGGGGGAGAATATACTCATGAGGATCTTGGTCACATGGTAGACAAGATTAGTGTTGAACGACTAAGTTATGCATATGCATCCTGTTGCAACGCACAGGGCGTTGAAAACCTTGTGAAGATCTTTGAGGTCTTTTGGACTCAGTTTCTTGTACCCCAAACTCTCAGACCCATTGAACCAGGAGGCTCCTTTGTTGATGAGACGGTTTCACTGATGATGTACCACACTGGATGTGAAAAAATCCAGTGTGGCTGATGCATGCTATCATTAGCTTTTCCTAAATTGTTTTTTGAAGTTTTCATCTGCAATCATGAAAAGTTGGCCTTGTTTTCAAGATAAATATGTGGGTAAATCATATTCAGAGATTTAAAAGTATATTAGTTTATATATTGATACATATATGATCAGGTGCGCTTAGAAGGACCGACAACATACTGGGAAGGCGTTCCAGGTGACGAGGAGGATCTTGTGATTTCCAGGTTCGAATAAATTGTAGAGGCTTTCAACGGATGCTACATCTTCATATTAGACTTCAAGTAAGTGTATTGTGTACTGGAACTCTGGAAGGAAGCCTTGGTAAATGGTCGGCGTACTTCACTTCGCCCTGATGAGGAATTTGGTGCTAGGAAGGATGATTCAACTCTCTGCATGACATGTAGTGTTTCACTTGCAATGATGGACCAGAAGGAAAACATCTGAAGATGACAACCTATATTGATTTTATTTATTTATCCGGTCGAACAAGTGTTCTTTTTCTGTAAAGTTACTACATGATTGTAATAAAACGTTACTACATGATCTATTAAACTCTATCTGTTAGTAAATCATGGTAGTATGGACACATGCAATACTTAATCAGTGTTATATTTTGATAAATATTCTTGTTGCCTGTACATTCTTGGCTCGCAGGAACAGAACTTGAGCTGGTTTGATTTTTTTAAATTCAATTCAATTCGGTTATTGTGATTTTTGATTCTGATCCTGTACCACATGCAACATTTGTTTTGTTTGGCAGGTCTATACTCCAGTGGAGTTGCTTAGATCATAGGAGGATAAGTAGAAAAAGGGCGCCATAAGATATTCGGGTTCAGTGGTAAATATTTATGTTCAAATTTTATCCAAGTGTGATAATAGTTTTAATCTTAGCATTGGGGGCAAATATTCCAACTTCTTTTAGGGATTTCTAAACACTAATTTTGTGTATTCTGTCCCGCAAAAAGATAATTGATGTGATTTTTTTAGCCTTCCATTTGGGGGGTGGGGGGATACAGTTCTTTTATTTTCAAAATTTTCAGAATACAAATTCACAATTTATACTCACACAAATTCTATGTGCATTGGTTGTGACGAGAATTTGTGCTAGAATCTAGGTTTCTTAGGGAAGCGCTTCATTTTACCGTATTAGAGTCAATGCAAGTATATTTCCATTGGGGATGGCTTAACGCCACTACTGAAGTACCATTTTGTTGAAGTAAATTGTAGAGTATATCACGGTGAAGGGGTTTTGGGATCCCAAAATTGAATATGTTTGTATGTACATGCCACTTTTATGCATACAACAAGCGATATATAGTTTTTTTTATTAATTTTATATAATTTAAATTTATTTTGTTTATTTCCATTTTTTTCCTCCGATGCAATTTTACAGTGATCTCTAAGGAGCAGTTAAATTAGCCTAACAAATAATGTATGAATACAATTGAGCACTTGTTTCGTAATTTTACTTTGTTGCAACTTCAACATTTTTATTTTATTTTAAAATTGATCCCCAAGTAGACCACTAGATAATTTATCTGACTAGATCATTTTTTATTTTTAGGGAACATAATTAGTAAGATGATTTGAGATTATTTACAATGTGCTTGGGAGGAAGATGAGAAGATGTTGATGGTGGCGGTGTAGTTGATGGTGACGACGGCCATGGGTGCTGCTCGACAACAACATGAACCATCTTGCGAGACAACTGCTGGAGCACCGGGGCCGTGGTTTGTTCGAGAAGAAGAGCTGACCAAGCTACTCAACAAGGATCAGAAGGATGACCACGATGGGCGAAGAAAAGGCTGTTACCACCATGGGATAAGATGACCATGACAAACCCATGTGATGTGCAGGAGGATCCTAAAATATATGTTAGACATGATGAATGTTGAAGCACTAGAATATGTATTCCCCTGTTGCAGCACACATGATTACCACATTTGTTTTCATCTCCCAAAACCAGTTTGTTTTTTCTACTCTTGGTTTGACCAGACGATGACAATATGTTCAGCTCAAGTAAATCCTAGGAATCATTTATTTGAATGGCCTGATTGTCCAAAATCAAAATAGTTGATAAACAAACACCTACATATGAGTGTTACCTATCCATAGAAATAACAGATGACAAGCATAGTAAGAGCTAGCTTATCATGTCACAATGAACTGTATGGACGTATTAGAGTGATGATACCAAAGCTAGAGCAAGGAGTAGACCGAGGTAAAAGAGGGTGAAGGAAGAGCAAATTCTATCTTGTTGGTGGGGAGTGAGAAATAAGATGTGTGCGTTTAGAAAATTTAGAACCAATGAAAGAGATAAAGCTAAATTTAGAACCAATGAAAGAAGAGATAAAGCTGCCATGATAAATAGAACCAATCAACATTGTTATGTCATCCGGAAATATCTTTTCTACACATGTGAAATTTGACAGGCATTATGTTTGTATATGCAACCACTAAAAATTTTAAAAGCCCGTGGCAACGCACGGGCATTCTACTAGTAGCATTAGCATATAAGTTCTACTCTTGCTGATCAATCAAAGTACAACTACGCCAACCTCAGAATCCAACCAGACATATTTGATGCGGCAAATTAGTAATACATGCACAGTAGCAACTAGCTACTCCACTATTCTTCTCTCGCTGAACAATCAGACTGCTAGTACACCTAATGTAGACCAAGAGTCCTAAAGTCAGAGTCCAATTGCATCAATCCCAGAAGAAGCTCTGGTGTCGAAACAAGAAGAGTATATGCCGGTGACGGCGAGCATAATTCCAGTGCCGGAGCCGCTGACGCCCATGAAGCCCGCAAGGAGGGTCAGCGCGCCGACACAGAGTCCAACGACGAAGGCCACCATGGTGACACGGGCCTTACATCGGCTGAGGCGAATCGAGCCGGCCCGCGCAGGCGTCACGGTCACTCTTTCCCCGACCAACCTAGACACGTACCTCCTTGAGTATCTGCACAGCCCGAACCAGGCCGTCGATATGAGGGCGCATCCCATGAGCAGCAAGGCGGCGTAGAGGCACGCGTGCACCGGGTCTCTTGCTGAATCAGCCAAGCTTCATTTCATGGACACAGAGAAACAGTTATTAGATCTTAATCACAATACATCAGATGCATTAAGGAGAACACACAATAGTTCTATATATGTATGGATCTTTCAAAAAAAAAGTTATATATGTATGTATGTACTCACGTTGGTGGCGTAGTTAGGTAGTAGGCGACCCCGCTTACTGGAATAAACCCTGCAAAACGTTTAGATCTCTCCCACTTGCTGAGCAGGTTGACGATCTTGTTTCCGCCAAATACCGTAAATAATTGCTGCACCAAATATTGACCCAAAACATCCATAAATTTTACTCATCCGGCCACAACCACATGATAGTAACATACTACGGGACTAATAAACTGATAAAAATGTGAATATCGTCATGCAAGATACTCACCTCTGAGAATGTATATGTGCATGCAACAAGCGTGGCTTGGAATATGATGGGGGCATAGGCGAGGTAGGATATGCTGATGCTGTAGTTGGACTGAAACCTAGCAGCAGGCGCATCATCTGTCAGTGGCAACGCGACATGCAGGCCTTGCAATCCGCACACAAGCAGAAAGAAGGCAAACATCGCCGCTAGGTTTCCATGTGCGCCGTCTCTGAAGGCTCTCCAGAAAAGAGTTGCGCTGAAGAACGTACATATACACACGACGCAATAATTAGTTACAAATCCAAAAAAATAGCAATATGAAAATATCATTGAGTGCGTATTGATTCTTACCAAACATGTGCGGAGGTGAGCAACGGGATGCCGGAAAGGAGGCCATAGCCCTTTCTAAGAGCGTCGTCGAGATAAATGAGAACGACGCTTCCAATGGAGATCTGCAGCACGACAAGGATCGCGCTCCCGGCGCCCAAGTAGGTCGCGGATAGCACGTCGCGGACCGGCATCGCGGCGGAGAACAACACCCCCAGCGCCTTCTTCAGCCCTCCGGTCCTGCAGTCCACGTAAAAAGCTTAGAACATGCATGCAATATCCATATATATAGCTGAGCGGGCAGGGTATGTAGTGTGCTCACATGAGAAGACGGTTTTCCGGGAGGGGATTAATGGCCCCTGACCCCAGGAGGAGGTGGGTGCTCAACTCGGACATGAGGAGGGGGTAAACGCCGAGGGACATGGCGGTTCCGCGGTTGGCCGCGTAGGCCGTGTGGACCCAGTAGAGCGGGTCGTCGGCAGCCCCGGCCCGGCTGTTGTGGATCCCATAGAGCGGGAGCTGGCTGCCCGCCAGGAAGACGAGGAGCGAGCCGGCGGTGTAGGCCGCCTTCCGCCGGAAAGGAACGGCCTCCGCGGGGCCCTCGACCTCCGGCAACAACTCCGCCAACGGCCGCAGCCGGAAGAGATTGAAGCCCGCCATCAACGCGCGGTTGAGCAGGAGGAGCTTGGAGCGAAATTGACGCTCGTGCGGTCGTGGCTGCTAACTCGCAATCGATCAGCCGGTACCAACTTTGAAAGGGGAGGCAGCCAGGCACGCAGGGCGCAGTATATAGGAGCGAAGGCGCGAAGCCGAGTTCGGCTGGGTGGTGTCAATCGAATACAGGCGCAAAGCCGAGTAGGCTAGGTGGTCATCTAAACACGGACCCAAAAACCCAAACCAGAAACTCAGACCCTGATTATTTTTTCTCGACAAAACTTATGATATACTGTCTCTGTTCCATAATAAAAAAACGTTTTTTATGTTCTTATATTATGTGACGGAGAGAGTAGTATTCGTCAATCGTCAAGATAGTAGTGCATATATAGGACACTGGAAATAAAAATTACATCCATGTCCGTAGACCACTTAGAGACAATTACAATCAATGAAGCGAGCCGAAGATGCACCGTCATCATTCCCCCTTCCTCACCGGAGCCGATAAACCTTGTTGTAGTAGACAGTCGAAAAGTCGCTGTGTTAAGGCCCCATAGGACCAGCGCACTAGAACAGCAACCGCCGCCGATTAAGAAAAGCATAGATCGGAAGGATCCAACTTGCAGATACACATGCAGACGAATGAAGACCGGATCCAAGCAAATCCACCGAAGGCAAACACCAACCAAATCTCACGAGATCCGCCGGAGACACACTCCAACGAGGCTAGACGTACCGTCGAGACGGGGGGGGGGGCATTATGCCATCTCCAGGGAGCCTCCACGGCCTTACCACAAGACACAAAAGACACCTAAAAAACAGAGCTGGAGCCCTCCCGCCTACAAGTACCGAGATCCACCACGCCTCCATGGCCTAAGGCCACAACAGACGGATAGACCTGCGGCGGGGCCGACAAGAGGCGTCCAAACCCTAGCCGCCTTTGACTCACTAGAGCTCAGCCAAGGGGTACACGCCTAACAACCTTACAAGACTTACCCCTCTTGTTTCAGATGGCCCGTGTCTAGAATAATTGAGTTAATCGCATAAAATTATCATAACTGCTACAAAAATAATCAAAAACCATCACAATTCGTTTAGGCAATGAAGAACCCCCCATGACTCCAAAACATTGATGGCCCCATAACTGCCGATTGATGTGGTTTACGACAAGGAGGTCTCAACCGTCAGGCCGAGTTGAAAAAAAAACCTACACGACCACGTTGACTATCTTCTTTCTTCTAGGAGGTAACCCCATAAGGCGGGCACCTTTTGGGTGCACGAAGACCCAAGTGTGCGATGCATGCCGCACAGTAGAAGCCTAGGAAGTGGCGCCCAGAGGCACATGAGGGATATGGGCATGAAGGTTGTTGCCTTGTTGGTATGGGGTAGACTGATGCTTTTTTGTTTGGTCTTTTCATTTCGCGTCTGGTTTTTTCTATTGAGATTAACAAAAAAAAAATCTCTCTCCGATATTTCCTTGGGTTTCTCATACAACGTGTGAGTACAAGTGCATTAAGTAGATAGTACGTGTTGAACACATAGAAGTACACCGTCGGAAGTACAGGTTGTGTGATGCGGGTAGTTCAGGTTGCACTACCGGGAAGTACATTACCACATAGGGGGTAGAAGTATGTTACACGTGACACTACTACAATTTGCTTGTACGCCGGGTGCAAGACTCTTTGCCGAGAGCCAAATCTCGGGCATTCGGCAACCTTACGTATACCGAGAGCTGCACTCGGCAACAGTGGGTTCACGGTAACTAGCCCATGTTGCCGTGAGAGGCTCCCGATGCAGAGGCTACACCCAGCAAACACTACATATGCCGAGAGCTACACACCGCAAAGACTAGCAACGTGGCATGCTCGTTCGCACCTGATGGCGCTGTCAGTTTCTTTAGACTTTACCGAGAGCCGAATATCGACGCTTGGTAAAGACATTTGATGACTTCTATTTTCCTTTTTATTTGGGTGTGATTTTTGGCCTCTATTTTTGTGTCTGATGTTTAATATCTTTTAATGACTAAAGTGTCAAAATACCATGACTTTTGATGACTTATGTTTTGGGTTAGATTTTTTCGGAATCTCAACTTCTAAATAATTAAGCACTACTCTCTCCGTTCTTTATGTAAGGTGTATTATTTATGCCACGGTGACCAAGGCAAGTAAATCAATTAGGCTAGATAGAAAGAGGTACTTGTAACAGGGAGAAATATTAGGACCTGTACCGAGAGGGTTATCGGTACATACAGCTATTACCGAGAGTCGTAACATGGATAGGTGGGTATTCACTCGATGCCGGTCAATGCGGTAAACCGCCGGGGTCACCGGAAGGGCACACGGTCGGGAAGCCGCCCGAGGGGGGTGAGGGAGTCCTGGATAAGGGGATATCCGGACAGCCGGACTATATACTTTGGCCGGACTGTTGGACTATAAAGATACAAGATTGAAGACTTCGTCCCGTGTCTGGATGGGACTCTCGTTGGCGTGGAAGGCAAGCTTGGCGATTCGGATGTAGATCTCCTCCTCTATAAACCGACTCTGTGTAACCCTAGCCCCCTCCGGTGTCTAATATAAACCGGAGGGTTTAGTCCGTAGGACACAACAACAATCATACCATAGGCTAGCTTCTAGGGTTTAGCCTCTCTGATCTCGTGGTAGATCAACTCTTGTAATACTCATATCATCAAGATCAATCAAGCAGGAAGTAGGGTATTACCTCCATCGAGAGGGCCCGAACCTGGGTAAACATCGTGTCCCCAGCCTCCTGTTACCATTAGCCTTAGACGCACAGTTCGGGACCCCCTACCCGGGATCCGCCGGTTTTGACACCGACATTGGTGCTTTCATTGAGAGTTCCTCTGTGACGTTGCTGTAAGGCTCGATGGCTTCTCCAACCTTCAACAACGCCGTCCTGGGTGAGACTTTTCTCCCCGGACAGATCTTCGTGTTCGGCGGCTTCGCACTGCCGGCCAACTCGCTGGGCCATCTGGAGCAGATCGATAGCTACGCCCCTGGCCATCAGGTCAGGTTTGGAAACCTAAACTACACTGCCGACATCCGCGGAGACTTGATCTTCGACGGATTTGGGCCCGTGTCAGGAGCGCCGAACGATCACGACTTGCATGACCTAGATCTGCAGTCAGATGGTATTCGGAGCATCGCGCCTGCTACAGCTCCGGACTTTGCTCCAGAGCAGGTCGTGCCTTCCGAGGACGGGTGGTTGGACCCCGCCCCGAAGGCCGCACACTCATCGGCGTTGGAGCTGAACACAGACTCCTCTCCTAAGGAAATCTGTATCTCCGGACCCCCGGACTTGTCTCCGGTCGTACGTTCCGGACCGCGCGCAGCCGTGCCCATCGAATCTAACTGGGCTCCGGTTATGGAGTTCACCGCCGCGGGTATGTTTGAGCACTCACCCTTCGGAGACGTGCTAGATTCATTAAGGTCTCTCTCTTTGTCAGGAGACTCTTGGCCGGACTATATCCGGCCCGTGTGGGATACGAAGGACGAAGAAAATCGCGTCCCACCCACCACCCACTTTATAGCCACTGTCGATGACCTAACAGACATGCTTGACGTCAATTCCGACAACATCAATGGTATGGACGTCGATGCAGGGGACGACCTGGAACCACCGCCCACGGGGCGCTGGACTGCCACTTCATCATACAACGTCTACATGGTGGATACGCCTAAAGAAGACAATGGTGACAAAAAGGACACAACGGAGGATAAACCCCCCGGGCAAAAGCAAAAATGACGGCGCAGGCGCCGCTCTAAGTCCAGTCACAGTAAAAATAGCGATAACAACACAAAATAGGATGACACTCCGGTTGACTCCGAAGGCAACAATGACCATAGGGACCCAGCGATGGAGCAGGACAAGCTAGGTCATGCCGAACACAGCCCAGAGCAGACGCCCAATCACAGCGATCCAGAGGGCCTAACTCATCACACTACCTCCAAAGAGGAGGACAGTTCGGTCGATGATACATTCATCATCCCGGAAAAGCGTCGGGAGCAAGGTAATCTCCGCAGAAAGCTCCTGGCCACGGCGAGGAGCTTGAAGAAGCAGAAGCAAAGGCTTAAAACCGCGCAGGATACGCTCAACCAAAGATGGAACAAGGTGCTGGACACCGAAGGAAAATGTGGCGACGATCGCCACACGAAGAGCTACCCAAAGCGCAAACTGCTACCCGAATTCGACGACGAAGCCGCAGCGCCCATTCCGCCAAAAAACAATACGACCACTAGGCCGGACCAACCACCTCATGGATGCGGTAGAACAGACACCGATACCGCACATGATTTACGAGAGCTCCTGGACAAAAAGGCCAGTGCGGCCAGATCCATCTATGGGACCAGAGGACATGCTCCGACGCGGGATTATGGTCACAACAACGATCATACTGATCGAATACCAGTCCGGAATCAACACCGGGAGCAACAAAAGCTGACAGCATGTCGCGACACGGCCAGACACAAAGGGGCTGCGCACCCCCTGTGCTTCACCGATGAGGTGCTGGATCATGAATTTCCATAGGGATTCAAACCCGTGAATATAGAGTCATACGACGGAACGACGGACCCTGGGGTCTGGATTGAAGATTTTATCCTTCACATGCACATGGCTCGTGGGGATGACCTCCACGCCATCAAATACCTTCCCCTCAAGTTAAAAGGACCAGCTCGTCACTGGCTGAAAAGCCTCCCCGAAAACTCAATTGGAAGTTGGGAGGAACTTGAGGATGCTTTCAGGGCCAACTTTCAAGGAACCTATGTCTGGCCTCCGGATGTTGACGATTTAAGTCACATAATACAACAGCCCGGAGAGTCAGCCCGCAAGCTTTGGAACAGATTCCTCACTAAGAAGAATCAAATTGTCGACTGTCCGGATGCCGAAGCCTTAGCAACCTTCAAACACAGTATCCGAGACGAGTGGCTTGCCAGACACCTCGGCCAAGAAAAGCCGAGAATAATGGCAGCCTTAACAAGCCTTATGAC